GCACACACACGAAAGAAGGAAAGAAAAACGAGTCCCAACAGACAATTGGATGGACTGACACACAGAAAGTAATTAGACTGACAGGTCATATAGCGAAAAGAGTGCATGGCCGTTAAGAAAAAAAAAAAAAAAAGAAAAGCTGGACGGGTCGGAGTGCTGGTGTGTGTCGTCACAAAATACGTCAGAGAGAAAGTTACTTAGGACGACAGGGAAAGAAGTCAGATGTTTCCTTTTTTTCTTTCTCAATACTTTTCTGTATATTTTTGTACTTTAAAAAAATTTGCAACGTATACTGCCATGCGACCGTCAGCAGTTAGTCGGGTGGCGAAGGACCAACATTTTGAGGAGATGGAGGTAATGTGAGGCTGGACAAAATTCCTTTATTTGGGTTGACAAAGCATCATAAACGAGAAATCTCTTTCTCTTTTCTTTCTTGGTTTTTCTTTTCTTTTTCTTTTTCTTTTAGTTCTTGTTCTTTTTCTGTCCATTTTTTCTTTCTTTTGTGTTTATTCCTTTCCTTTTTTTTTTTTTCGTTTTTATTTTCCTCTTCTTTTCCTTTCTTGCTTACTTATTCCTTGTTAGCGTTTTTGCTTACCTTTTTCTTTCTTTTTTTTTTTACTTTAGTTACATTTTAATTTATTGCCATTTTTTCTTTCACCTCATTTTTGTCGGACGCTCTTAATTTTTTGGTTCTGACTTTTCTTTCTTTATTTATTCCTTGATGCCTTTTTTGTACTTCCTCGTCTCCCTCTCTTTTTCTTTCCTTCCCTTTTTCGCTTTCCTTCCTTTTCACCTTTCTTTCTTTTTCTCTTCTCACTCATTTTCTAATCTTCTCTCTTCTTTATTTCCTACTCTTGTTTCTTCCCTCCCATTTCCTCCTCCTTCCTTCCTTTATTCCTCCATTTCTCTTTTTCCTTCCTTTTTGTACCTCCTCTTTTCTCTTTCCTTCCACTTTCCTCTTCTTTTCTCTTTCCTGTCCTTTCTTTTTCTTCCTCTTTTCTCTTTCCTTCCTTTTTTACCACCTCTTTTCTCTTTCCTTCCTTTTATACCACCTCTTTTCTCTTTCCTTCCTTTTTTACCACCTCTTAACTATACTTAACTATACTTAAACATGAAAACAATAAACAAAAACTAAAAATTCTTGAAGCTATATAGCTTCAAGAATTTTTAGTTTTTGTTTATTGTTTTCATGTTTAAGTATAGTTGTGTTTTCAACAAGGATTTTCCGGAATTGTGTATGCGGCCAGGCATGTTGTTTTAAATGCCTCAAAATGTTAGATTTATCATTCAAATGTAGAGTCAAACATCATGAAATCGAGTTTGTGGTGTGTCCATCATAAATATTATTTAATCTATTGGAGATACAATCTCCCAAAGGGCACTTGATTTTGTAAACTATGTTGGTTTTTTGCAAATCGCTAACGGGGAGGGGGGGAAGAATCATTGCGAATAATTAAATTGAATATACTAGATTTAGTGTAGTATATGATTAACCTCATAAAAAAAAATCGGTTGGAACTATATGCAATGGCGGTCGCTTTTCATTACCAGTTGCTATCAGTTCTTGCACCCTAATTATTTTATAGGGGAAGATTTTTTTTTTTTTTTTTTTGCCTGGCTGCCTTATGATCAGTTACAAAACCAATATCTTGTTGCTGCTGTAACTTTCGAAAAAATTAAGCGTAGTAATACACTGGCGTCGAGATCTCATTTTAGTAATCCGCAACCACTTTCTTTTATCATTGTCGATTTTTGTACAAATCTATGCAAAACGCGGAATCACAGAGCTTATCCAGCTTCATACATATTTTCAGAAAACTTCAACTTTTAATTGGTCAATAAACACACAAGTGGGCGTTGCAATCCACCTACACACCAGGTTCTATAGCCTTGGATGGCAACAGGTCTACCGCAGAAATAAGCCGGTCTGTCCTGCTATTTACCCATAGCAGGGGAGAGAATTTCCTAAGGGTATTAGCATGTAAGTGAATGTAATGGATTCGATTGGAATTCGAACTCAGCTCTCCGATTTCTCCGTCCGAGCCGCTCCAACGTTCCTCCTAGGAATACAGCAATCTGATTTCAAGAAGATGGTTTCTTTGTTTTGCAACTTAAACTATTCTTTATTGTACTCTTTATATTGCAGCCAATTAAACTATTATGGCATTTTCAAACGTTGTTAAATTGTTTGATTGCATTTTATTTTTGTTTGCATGAAAATACATTCGGTATATGAGTATGGAAAAAATCTATTTATTTCATTTATAGTAATAAAGTAGGTAATATTTTGAATTAAATAAGCACTAATTTAATAAAGTAAGTCTCCTGATTTTTAATATATTGCTTAGCTTTTGGAAGCCAACTTTCGAAATTTAAAAGTGCGAAATGCCTTCCAAAAGCTAAGCAAATTATTGAAAAACAGGAAAATTTCGTTAGTATCAAATAAAAGAGTACTGTATTGTTGTCTAATATTGGTCATCCAATATGATATTTAATGTTAGACAATGTCATCACAGATGAAAAAAAGACCCGAGGAAAAAAATGTTGTCCTACCGAAGGATACTGAGAATACTATAGACTGAACGTTTGAGTAACAACGTAGTTTTAGGAAAATATTAAAGGATACTTTATTCACTTAAACTCAGAAAGAGGCTATTGAAATTTCTGGGACACATAACGAGGAAAGAGGGCTTGGAAAATTCGACCTACTGAAGGATCAGAGGTAAACAGCGCATAACCTACTACACAGGCTTGTGTCACAACAGGGATTAGGAGAGATCGCAAAAAGACAAACTTTACTATGATCGACAAAGATTATGAAATTGCGGAGCCATGACACTTACGTCCTGAAGAGACACAGCAGCAGTTGTTTTTTTTTTATCGATTTTCATCATCAGAATTTAGTTTACTGACATTATTTCATATTAAAATTCACATATTCCGGGTGTGGAATTAGCAAATACCTAATACTTCAAATACCTAATACTTCGAATACATGGGTCAGTTATTGCAAATAGGATAGGAGATAAGTACATAGAAATGAGATGACGATGTGCTAGGGGTACTTTCACCCGAAACCGCAAATTGCTACAAAAAAAAATTGTTTTTAAATAATCTCGTCAATTCAAGACTTTAAGAGGGGTGTTATGCGTGGCACAAAACTTGTTCAGAAATAACTAAATTGCCTGCTGTATACAAACGCTTCCTCAGATCAACGGTTAAAAATGGCTCTGAAGGAACAAAACCTGTAGGTCTTAAAGCGGATCGCCCTACTTCGAACCTTGTGAGCAGACGCTACAGAAATAAAGAAAACATATCAACAGCAATCACATAAATTGAGGACATTCAACAGCAGCAACAACTAAAATGAATAGGACATGTAATTAAGAGAAAATAATGACAATCATGATGTTGATATTCCGCACTACTTCAAATAAAAGGTTAGGAAGGAAACCTCCATCAATACTGGAGAGGGTGCTAACAGTTACTGAACTTGAGAAACCATTTTTTTTTTTGGGAAAAATAATAATAAGAGAAAGGTTTTGTAGATTTCAAACGAATGTAACATTTGCTGTAATGAATGCTAAATATTGCCTTATAAGGAAACGGTTAACATTACCATTCCATATTATTATCATTGCTTTTTATTCCTCACTTGGGTTGATATACTCTTCGATCATTGTTGCAAGTTGAATGAAATCTCTAATAAGTAAAAAAGCCTTTATAAGCAAGAAAATTTGGTCCAAGGAAGATAAAACCATAAAATCTCCAAAACGAAAATTGATTTTCAAGTCAATTAAGGCAAAAGTGAGTCTGGTTCCAAGTAAAGCGTTTATAGCAAATCAGTTAAGACATAAGAAAGAATAAAAGGTTTTGTTGCCACTGAAGGCAAAATTAATATTTATTGAGGAATGTTTACTCGGGGATATTTTTATTGGCTCATTGGAGGACGGACAGACAAGCATTGTTTTTGGAAGCACCGGCTAAGTGTTTACGAAAGAAAAAGTTTCATTTACAGGAAAAGAGTAATTATAAATAAACTCAAATTTTTCATTCGGCGTTGAGAAAAATAAAGAAAAAGAAAACAAAGTACGAATAACAATGGAGCAAAGTAAAAAAGAAACGAAAGAAGAGGAGGAAAAAAGGAAGGAAAGAGAAAAGAAGAGGAAAAAAAGAAGGAAAGAGAAAAGAGGAGAAAAAGTGGGAAGAAAAAAGAGATGGTAAAAAAAGGAAGGAAAGAGAGAAAACGAGGAAAAAGGAAGGAAAGAGAAACGGGGATGAAAAAGGGAAGGACAGGAAAGAGAAAAGAGGTGGTAAAAAAGGGAGGAAAGAGAGAGGAGGATGAGAAAAAGAAGAAAAGAGAAAAAAGTAGGAAAAGAGAGAAGGAAAGAGAGAAGAGGGAGAAAAGGGAAGGAAAGAGAAAAGAGGTGGTAAAAAAGGAAGGAAAGAGAAAAGAGGTGGTAAAAAAGGAAGGAAAGAGAAAAGAGGTGGTAAAAAAGGAAGGAAAAAGAGAAGAGGATGGGAAAAAGAAGAAAAAGAAAAAAAAGTAGGAAAAAGAGAAGGAAAGAGAGAAGAGGGAGAAATGGGAAGGAAAAGAAAAGAGGTGTAAAAAAAGGAAGGAAAGAGAAAAGAGGTGGTATAAAAGGAAGGAAGAGAAAAGAGGTGGTAAAAAAAAGGAAGAAAGAAAAAGGAAGAAAAAAAAGGACAGGAAAAGAAAAAGAAGAGGAAAGTGGAAGGAAAGAGAAAAGAGGAGGTACAAAAAGGAAGGAAAAAGAGAAATGGAGGAATAAAGGAAGGAAGGAGGAGGAAATGGGAGGGAAGAAACAAGAGTAGGAAATAAAGAAGAGAGAAGATTAGAAAATGAGTGAGAAGAGAAAAAGAAAGAAAGGTGAAAAGGAAGGAAAGCGAAAAAGGGAAGGAAAGAAAAAGAGAGGGAGACGAGGAAGTACAAAAAAGGCATCAAGGAATAAATAAAGAAAGAAAAGTCAGAACCAAAAAAATTAAGAGCGTCCGACAAAAATGAGGTGAAAGAAAAAATGGCAATAAATTAAAATGTAACTAAAGTAAAAAAAAAAAAAAAAAAAGAAAAAAGGTAAGCAAAAAAACGCTAACAAGGAATAAGTAAGCAAGAAAAAGGAAAAGAAAGAGGAAAATAAAAACGAAAAAAAAAAAAAAAAAGGAAAGGAATAAACACAAAAGAAAGAAAAAATGGACAGAAAAAGAACAAGAACTAAAAGAAAACATAAAACAGTTGGAACCTAACCTGAACAAAATAAACTATGAAATCTCCACAAATATTCTTAAATTCCTATAATTGATAACAGAAGCCATTGGTTTATACCAACGGTTTCCCATACTTAAAACTTCTCGTTTTCACTTTCGCGTGGTCATGTTTGACGTCACGAGCTGAGACGCGATTTTCGCTTCCGCGTCTCGTATACAAGATGTTGTCGTTGCTTTGAAATTTTCATGCAACAAAAACACACTATCATTATTGTATCGTCCGTATTTTGGTTGATATATTGAAAAGTAATTTTCATCTTTGATAATGGCTTATGTAAACCAAAAGCTTAGATTGGATTTAAACATGTATCAGTATTTTTTTTAAGCTTTTAACCCCAAGCAAGGCGGGAAGCCACTAGGACGCAAGAGGTTACAGAAGATTTGGAGCAAGATCAGATAGGATTGATAGAGGAAAGCACGAGGAGAAGGATCGTGGATAGATCAAGGCAACTGGAGATGTCGATTGACATTACATTTGAATAGTTGGAGATTATAGCTGTCAGGGAAACAGGAATACGGAAGGGAGTTCCACAAGCGAGAGGTGCGAGATATGAAGCTATTGGAGTAGAAGAGACGGCTACATTTAGTAGTTTCAACAGTGACAGGGTGAGAGCGTGATGGCAGTCTCGTAGGGCGCTTGAATTCATGGAATCTGGGAACCAGCGAATGCAGCTCCTCGGAGCAATTACCATGAAAGTATTTGTAAAAAAGACAGAGAGGCGATGGCGCGTCTGTGAGAGAGCGACTGTAGACGAGATGCCAGAACAGGGCCAATTATATTGCATATCCGCCTCTGGAGCTTATCAAGAACCCCGAGGCAAAGAGAAGGGGCTCCAGACCATATTTGACAGCAAGGGCGAATATTGGTAATGTGTTAGCCGTGACATTTGTTTACCGATGAAGCATGGTTTCATCTCTTGTGTTAAGTAAATTCGCAAATCACAAGATTGTCGTCCTTCAATAATCCTTATATTTTGTATTAAGCACCCCGACAGGAAATGACAGGTCTGGTGTTTTTAATCTTTTTCTAGACAATATCCTGCGTATTTACACAGATGTAAAGAGATGGACATTGATCATTTAATCATTACATGCTATATCTCAAACGAATCTACCAAAAAAAAAACAACGATCCCGTTTTCTCTCCCGAGGCCAACGTACTAATGAAGAAGGAAGCTATGCTGATGACATAGGTTTTCAGAGTTCGAATGATCTTGAACAGAAAATCAACATCCTTTCTGCATTCTCTTGAGCATTCTTCTAGACTCGATGAATTACTTTAATTTGATTATTCAAATACCTCTAAAAGATTTCTATCACCTATATATATATATAGATATATATATGAGCATTCTTCTAGACTCGATGAATTACTTTTTATATATATATATATATATATATATATATATATATATATATACTAATTTATTTACTTTAATATTGATAGATTACTTTTAATTACTTTAATATATATATATATATATATATATATATATATCGAAATAAAAGTATAAAACATAATATTACGAGATATATTAAAAAAAAAACGGGTGAAGCAACCGGCTTCGCTCCCGCTCTTCAGGCTTCAACGGGAGATTTAAAATTGACACAGGAAAATGTACAATAAAAGGAATTGTGAGGGAAAAAAATATGCAAAAGGAACTAGAGACAAATGACAGCGAGCCCCAACAAACACTCACGTTGTTTACACAAAGAAGGCTTGCAGGAACCGATGTAAAGTGCCTCAGAACCTTAAGATGAAATAAAAAAGTGTGACCGGGACAACACGGTGAACCGGTCAACACTAAATTTGGCTGCACACTCTCTGCTGTTTAATAGGTGTTCGCATATGGCGGAACCATAGGTGTTCTGGACGAGTCCATTCAAAGGCAGGGTGTGATTTCTAATTTTAGTAGGAACGTGTTGTTTTATTCTCATGTCTAAGCGTTGAGTTATTCTCCCTATGTAGTCGGCTCCGCAACTACAAACGTATTTGTAAATAATTGAATTAATTTGATGGGGAGGGAGAACGTCTTTACACGCAGCTCGAAACATAGGCCGAGTTTGAAAAATAATCCGAACTTCAGCAGAGAAAAAACAACAACGAACATTGGATGAAATTTGTTTAGCTATTTTTCACATTTGGTACCAATCCAGGGTAATCTGAGGTAAACTGGGCATTTTTGACAGTGTAGAGCTCGGCACTTCTGAACTCTTCAACTTTACTACGGATAACTGAATTAACAGTATCAAGAGGATAACTTAAATTACATAGGGTATCCTTAATAAAGTCGATTTCGTCGTTCAAGAAAGGCTCAGAGCAGATCTTTAATGCTTTATGTAGGAGGGTTTTAATAATGTTAATCTTGCGCTTAGTGGGACAAAAAGAGTCCCAACGCGTGTACAACCCGTTGTTAATTCTCTAAGGAGAGAATAATTTCTCTAGAATCCTTATATATATTTATCCGAGGCTATATCGCTTCATTTACAAATTTAGAGCACTGGATATGTCATATATCTATCTATCTATCTAGAAAGTGGGCTGAAAAGTTCATATACTGATTATGAAGAAGGGATGCTAAGGCTGTGAAATCTTATATGCCTTAATTTCAACTTCAAATAATTCAACTTGAATAACTGAATTGATTATTTGCAGGTAAAATGACATCAGAATGGTCAAAGAAGACTCTGAGCACAACTAATAGCGCCTTCTCTTGCAAATGAACAAACTTTGGCATTAAGTCACTGCAAAAAAATTGTTTATCTTCCATGGACATTCATGCTGATGGATGGAGCATTATAAAGTACAGGCTCTGGAGAAAGCAGTTGAGCAACATGCTCCATAAGTTTTCTATGAGGTTGAGGTCAGGAGTTTGGGGCGGCCATGTCATAACACTCACCTGCTTCTCATCAAAGTATTTCTTCATCAATTTTGATTTGTCACAAGGAGCATTATCCTGCATAAAAATGAGCTTGGTGGGGTCGATTTGCACCATTTAAGCAGAAGGGAGCAGACAAGACTCTAAAATCTATTGAAAAGATCCTCAGGAGCGAGCAGTACAATTCTCTTGTACTGCTCGCTCCTGAATCTTCAATAGGATTTCAAAACCAGTTCCATGAAAAGAAAAGCATCCCCAGAACATTATACTGAACGGATGCTTGACAGTACTTACTGCTAAATTCAAAAAGCTTTCAAAGCTTCTTCTTCGGATTTTAGATCGCTTATTCTTTGAAATTAGCTCATCTTTCGTTTCATCGGAGAAGAGAACATTTAGTAAAAAAAATCAGGTGAGTCACTGAAAGTATATTTGTATATTGTTGCTATTGGCCAGGATGCGCCTCGTGACAGCCAGGTCAGACAACACATGTCTACGGGGATCAATGCTCTAGGTTTGTAGGTGTAACGATATAAACAAGGATGTTCGTTTAGAGATACCTAATGACATCGGCGAAAAGGTTTAAACACATATGTTTGTTTATAATAGACTTTAACAGCCGGATTCCAAAATGGAACCCAAATGCAGAGATGAGATACTTAAGACATTTACATTTTCTTTTCGCCATAATAAATTTAATCGCATTTTTTTTTATCAAATAATAATCAACACCGAATAATTTTTTACTGTTTAACTGTTTTAGAATTGTTTAAAGTAAGTTTTCTGAACTTAGGGAGGTTTGGCGTAGTTGTAAGTGCAATGGGCCGAGTAAAAAAAAGTAAAGTAGAAAATAAATAGAAAAGTGGGCGGGAGGAGCAACAACGCGGCATTATCATCATCTTTTAATTATTTTTTTACAAAATCCACATGAAAATTTGCTATAATTTAAGAACTAGTATGCTTAACAAAAAACGAACTTAAGGCTTCATTTGATTTTGCTGTTTGAAATCAAAATATCTGGACAGGGCGCGCCACACGCCAACTAAATCAGACAGCCGACATATCCAGTGCTCTAAATCTGTAAGTGAAGCGATATAGACTTGGATAAATATATGTATATGAAAATCCTCTGTAATCATACGCAGGAAGTAAAATTTTGTCATGGACAGTCTCTGTATGTGCTTGGATAGATATACGCACGGATCAATTTCAAAACCTTCTTGACAATATATAACTTTGCATAGTCACCGTGATTCAGTCAGGTGAAGAAAAGAACTACACATTATTAGATAGGGATTTTTTCGCATATATATATATATATATATATATATATATATATACAGTGTAACCCCGATATAAGAGAGTTGTCGGGACCGGAGAAGAAGTCTCTTATATCCGGGTTTCTCTTATATCAGGGTCTCTTATATCCGGGTTACGCTATATATATATACCTGAGGATGTCTGTAGGAACAAAAGAAAGCTTGTAAAAAATTAAAAAGACCTTATGCAACTGGAATTTATAAACAGGGATCATATCATTCATATACAGGTTTGGGGTTGGTGTATCTTATTTATATTGTTTGCGAAGATGTATTCTGGCCACTTAAATCATTAACCTCTATATTTGTTTTTTTTTGTATGAATGATTCATGAATTTATAAATTATAGTTGCACCTATAATTGAAATTAAAATAACTGATCCAACGTGCAACTTTCGGATAATAAGTGTGATATTCGTTTAATTATTGAACAATATAGTTCATGCCACATTGACGGAAAATCTACCAGTAAAAAAGAATTCTCTTATTACTATATTTGTACTAAAACGCACAACCTTAAAATTTAAATTCAAACTCAGCGTTGCGACCGCACGTTCCAAAACAATAACACATTTATCATAGCATTTTTTCGGATTACATCTCTATTTTCGTTGTCCTCTTATTAACGAGAAGTAAAAAACAAGAACAAATCTATTTCCATACCTGAGGATGACTGTAGGAACAGACGAAAGCTTGTAAAAAATTAAAAAGACCTTATGCAACTGGAATTTGTAAACAGGGATCATATCATT